TTAGAAACCACTGTTCAAAAAGTTACCATGGACATTTGATGACCTCACTTTATCCCTGCCCACATCCAACAGGAAGTCATGCATTTCACTTGTAGAGGTCTTTTTCTTACCCATAAATGTTATTGATGGAGCAAAACAAGGTGTCTACTTTGGACAATGACTGACGCCTGCGTCATGTGCTTGTGTTGCAGGTCATCAAATCTTCGCGCCCCACAGGCGTGATCGGATTTGCATTAAACTGGATATGAGTGATCTTTGGCAAACTACCAGCAGCTCTGTTGGATTACATTGGACTATTAGAAGGTTCACTTACATTGTTGCACCGCTGCCTGGAGCCAGACACACCACTCAAAGTGGAAATATGGGGGGGCACAAAAGCAGCGGGAGGTGACTTTAATGATTTCACAACCGCAAGATGATGCTCAGATCAGAAGAAATTTAAATAAACATGAAATCTCTCGGTGAGCAATCATGAGGATAAAGTTAACTCAATTGTACCTCCTTAGAATATGTAAACGGTCATGTCTCCCTAATGCACCATCACATCTGATCCAAATGTCGTGTGGTCTGTTCAACAAATTGACAGGATCCTTTGATAACAGACAGTTATCTCCGCCTACATACAGTAGGAGTCAATCTATCTCTGTTTTTCTAGATCGCTTCCAAAAGGCTTCCACGGAAACCTTTTGCCATCCACACTGTTGAGGAAGACACCATAGAGTAAGTAGAAATAGAGGAAGACACCTGGAAAACATACAAGCATGCTAATGTAAAACATTTAGCTTATCAAAATGTATCCGTATCATAGAACTTTTATAGGGCTTTTAATTAATGTATTGTTTATCTTTTAAAGTCATAGTAGATGCTTAATTATACTTTATCAAACTCTACACTTTTCTTAGAGATAGTGTGATCTTTAAGGTAGTTTGGAGGAAGAAGTGATACTATTAAAATGTTTTCTCTTCACTGGAAAAATTATCTAGAAATAAGTAAAAACTTCTTAAATAAAGAAAGTTGTATTTACCCTTAATTTGAGTAGGTAAATGTGATGGTTTGTCAATGGAATGAGTCTTTTACTCTTAAAAAAAAGATATTTAGATAATATACACTTGAAATAAGACAATGCAGTTGAGTTTTCTTACTTTAAGTGTAAACTGTCTTGTTCCATTAGCAAGGTGTCTTTTACCTCCATAATCCAACAACAAATGTATCAACATCGAAAATCTAACAGTTTAGCTCACTTGTGTAATAGTTACAAGATTTAATAAATATAATTAAGCACGTTTATCCTGATTCAAGATCCTAAAAAAGTCACAAATATAGAAAATCAATACATTATACCCTATATTCCATCTAAAAAAAATGGATGACATAATAATTCAACCTTTTTTCCATTATGAAAATCAGAAAATAACCGTATTTTAAGCATGATTATATATATGCCTTCAAACTACAGACAGCCTTAGGTATGAGAAATCCTGATGGTTTTAAGATTGTTTTTTTGTGGGCGTTTATCTTTTCATTCAAGGATCTAGCAGCTCTTTAATAAGTCAATAAGATCCGAAGCCAGAACCAGGATATCTATTTAATGTGACTTATTCTATCAATCAAAATATCAATAAATGTCACAGGCACTTGGATTATTTTGTCAAAAAAAAGAAAAAAATAGTTATCTTGTGTCTAAATAATTATGTGTCCATGCTTTTACATTTTTCTAAGATTTTCTGTGTTTTTTTTTGTTTGTTTTTTAAGAATCAGTGCCTCAGTGATAATGCAACACTGGTTAGTAACGATCAAAGTTATATCTGGGCTACAATCAATAGCATACAGGTTTTCAAAGACATGCCATGCAGACTGCATGTTTTCACGATCTGAATGAGTACATTGAGGAACACAAGGTCACAGGTGTGATTATTCTTTCAGCCAGGAGGATTGGGTAATGTCTGCTTTATTTATATTTGGTAGTAGCCTCAGTAGCATGTTTAAATCTAGGGTCATGCACATGGTTTCAATTTTAACATTTCCCTAAATCCTCTATTACTCTGTGAATGGGGTTCTCCACCTTTTGTGTGAGTAAATGAATACATCCGAGAATAAATCTCCGCTGCTTCATAAGAGCTAATAAGATACGGTGGGATGGATATTAGCATGTGAACATAATCCTGATTTCAGACTAGCTGTTGGATTTCTGCCCAGATACAGGAGGGGGGTGGGCATGGGAGCATGGAGCGGGGCACAAAAGCATTCATAAACGGAGAGCGATATCACTGGTTGCTGTGGTGATTCATGTGACCCCAACCAACACTTCCAAAAAGCAGCTCCACATAAATACGTTAGGGAAGGGTTTAATACTTTACTGTGTGAGCAAATCGTTCTTCTCCTGACTAATAAAAAAAGATTTGTATCCTGCATACTTTGTCTTATCTTTGCCTCTTGCTATTTTCTTTTTCTGCAGATCTGGGCACAGTGGTAACTCTAAAGGAAATTGATATCTTGAAGGTAGGGTCCCTTATGAGAATGCAGTATTTGCTTGTCCTTGCTTTTTTGTGTCCCAACAGCTCACATTTATGTAACAACTAACAGCACAACTTTTAATACCAACAAAAAGGATGTACACAAGTAAATAGTTGTATTATAGTTGTTTTATGTCAAAGTAAGAGATGGTTTTCAGTAAAAATATCAGAAAGATCTGCAGCACCTAAAAGACAGAGACCGATCTGTGGCATCATTCACTATGTGCTACGTTCAAAGCCCTTTACCTTTCCTTGTGTTCCCTATTTTGATGTTCTTATTAAAGTTTAACTAAACTCTATATAAAAGGGTAACCCCGGGCCTGACAATTCTTAAAAAACTGCTACCAAGGTAGACGGAGCCAGCAAACAGTTAGGATAAGTGACAGAGGTTCTGGTCAGGTGAGGGAAAGGGACAGGGAATTTGATATGGCTAAATAGTCTCAGTACCATGAAATTCTTTGCTCAGTGATTGGTAATTAAAAGTTTAGCTGAAAAACTTTAATGCTTGCTTTGCCCACAGACCCGACTCCTGATGTGCCGCAGCGGTGTCTGACTGAGATGGTTTTATACTTGAACGCGTAGCTGTAAAGTAATCAAATATCAAGCTGCTCTGCTTTAACCGATAGAACAGGGGTCTTCAACTTTTTCCAGGCCAAGGACCCCCAAACTGATGGCGAGATGGAGCGGGGACCACCTAATTATATATATTGTATGAAATAGTGTTCTATCAAACTGGTCCTATAGTCACCCTATTACATATGGAGTAATGTAATGAAAGTAATTTCTCCCTGGGATTATTAAAGTATTTCTGATTCCTGGTTGATGGGACAGGTGTTGTGAATGAAACGGTGCCCAGCTTGTAAGAGCTCCTGTGTGTCGCTGAATGTGTGCATTGATGACTGAAAGACATCTTCTGCCTCCATTTATCTGTTTACTACAGAGCTTTGAATTCATGTTAATGTGTATTTAAAGATATTTCAATTAGTGGAAAAAATTGGAGGGGAGAATATGAAAAGTCTAATAAACCCAAACTTTCGTGACCCACATGCAGTACCTCTGTGAACCCCCTGGAGGTTGCGGACCCCCTGTTGAAGACCTCCGCAATAGAACAATTCAACTGCTGTTGCCAACCTTCAACCAACAGATGGTAGCACTTGTTTAAGGACAATATGGCAAATAAATTTTAACATGAAAGAATCAAGATTTGCAAAGTAACAAAGATTAATCATTAAGGCAAATTTTAAACAGTTTGACTGCAGAAAAAAAATAATTCTAGTCTAGTTATTCTTAAAGTAAGACACCTTTGTCATATCAAGGTGGCTTAATACGTAGAGTTTAAGCCTGTGACTGGTTGATCTACTTTGTGTTAAATAGCAATCGAGCAACTAATAAAATGACCTCATTTTTCCAAACTCTTCTGTAATGAAATGACCTCTTCTGTTTGTCAGTTTGTATATTTAATCTACACAAAGCCATTTTTTCTACTTTGCTGAACGGGGTCAGAATTCTAAAGGCTGGTTTATTCTCAGAAACCTGGTCGTCTGAGTGTGTGTCGCAGTGAACGCAAATGTGCCCCCGCCCCTGCCGCAGACACTTTGGTGCACCTCTCCGAAATTGTAGAGAAGAGGCATCTGATTGGTCAAATCTACATCCACTCTACACTATGCATATTTCCTGCTTGGTATCTTACCGGCTTGTTTTGTTTGTATGATGGCCATAGTGTCCTGTTGGTCTTATACCGCCATGACCGCCAATGTGGAAGACTTGTGAAGTTGGACCATCTAGAAGAGCGAGGTGTGCTCGATGGGAACGATGGGACCCTTTTTCCACCTGGATTCCTGCTCTTTTTTGCCCTCATGTCCCTCCTTGTTGCACAAACTTGCTCCTTGCGGTTTTCCACTTCCTCACAGCTATTTGGTGATTGTCCCTCTTGCCTTGTGGCGTGGAATAACATAGCGCAGACCACACTTGGCATAAATCAAAAATATCTGCGTCATACCAGCGACAAGCCCACTGCGACACACTGCTGCAGGAGTATAACAGGCCCTTAAGTCTGTGTTCAGATATGTTATGGTCGATTCCCACCTCAAATAAAGCAGGCTCTCTTTTTCTTTCCTTATCTAAATACAAGCTGTCTTAGTTTTACCAACTTCAGCTGCTGGCAGTCTTCTCCCACTACACACCTTTCAGCGCAATACACATTTTCTACTGCTTCTTAACTTCGCTAGAACAGCCTTGGCAGGTACTTTTCTCTGGTTTGAGATTCCCCTAACAACTTGTCTAGACCAAGATTCCTGTGAAATCTGGCCTCTTTCCCTTATAAGCTTCCATAAATCTTCCTCCAACCTGCTTTTCTGCCTCCGTAATTGAAACAGCAACACAAATTTGACATATTTTGAGACGAGCACACAAAAGAATTCGACAAAGCAGGTGTAATCGATTGAATGCAGAGTAAGCAGGCGAGCGAACAAGTGAGCGGAGCCACACCTTGACATAGAGCTGCTGGAACTCATCCAGGTTTAGTCGGCCGGTGGGGCAGTCCTTCAGGAATCCCTTGTACCACTGCTTCAGCTCGTGCTCGTTGAACTCTGTGTTCTTCACCAGGTCCTCCATCACTTCAGGGGTCAGCTTGCTGTTCTGTTTCCCCATTTTCCTGCAAAGCAAAAAAAGGGGGAGGCCCCAGGAAAAACACAAACACATTAGTGAGGTTAGACATCATTCAAATGATGCAGAACACAAAGAGCTACCTGTCCGCGCTGCTGCACAGGGTTTTTTGGGAGTGTGATTCATCAAGGTTACAACCAGATGTTTGGAGTGAGCGTCAATGAAAGCATTTGTTTGTTTGCATAAAAGCAAACAAACAAATTGTACCTTGCAAAAGTATTCATACCTCTTAAATGCATTTTAACAAATTCTAAACACAAACATCTTTGGTTTTAGTTCAGATTGTATTTAATGGCAACACACTAATTATATGTCAGGTTAAAAGGAAAATTATAATTGGTTTAAAAAAAACAAAAAAAAACTTTTTCCCCAATAAAGATCTGGAATTTACTCCAAATTTAGCTGCTGTGAGTTATATTTTGGAGATGTATATTTTTCTTAAATTAGGTAGGTCTCTAGCAGTTTTAGACATATGGGATTAGGGGTGTGAATGGAAAGGAATTTGAAGATATGATACATATCATGATACATGTGTAATGATAAGATTTGTTCTGATATAACCCAATACATTAAGAAAGACAATATATTGCATAAAAAAGCGTTGGAAAACCTCCCAAAATCTTGTTTCTCTGTTGCTGCTGGTGCAGAGTGGCTGATTAATAGGCAATGTCCTGCCAACTAAAGGCTGGAGGTTTAAAAGGTTTTATAAAAGTAACACAAAGAGATGTTTAGCTATAAATCTGTATTGCATTTAAGATCCATTTAGGCCGTATTTTAAATCATACAATATCTAATCTAATAAAATATCACAATATTTAATAAAAAAAGATTTTTCTTACACCCCTAGTAAGGATATTAATACTTTTTGCCCATTCCTCTTTACCAGATCAGCTGTTATACATAAATTAGAAATAAATCTAGCTGCAGCTCTTTATTGGATTCAGGTGTGAATTTGGCTGGTCCATGCAGACAAATACAGAGTCAAACCATTCCACTGTAGCCTTTACTGGATGTTAGAGGTCAAGTTTTCTATTCTGATCAGCTTTGATGACATCAATGAAGAATTGCATCCCCACAGCATGATGCTGCCACGACCATGTGTGCTTAAGAGGAAATGCCCTTTTAGTTTTATTTTGGGTATGGTTTTATTGAGTTCAAATAAGGTCTCAACAGAGACCCTTTTCTTCCAGAAGTGTACTTCATCTGCCACATGGCCTGAGCTTATCAGAAAAAAAGGGTTCTTATGGCTTTTCTTAAACCTCAGCTTTATTTTTCTAGCTCGTCTTCATTAAAACCCAGGTTTGTGGCGTGCACAAACTGCAACTCCTCCATGTGTTTCTGGGTTGCTTCTCAGATTAATGTTGTTTTTGTAATCATTTCAGGTCCAAGGCCATGTTATGGTTGGTCTCATACACCCTGACCATCTTCAAATGATGGATTAAACAGAGCTTTGTGATGTATTCAAATCTCCAAATGTTGTTTTATGACCTTATCTTCCTTTAAAACCCTCCAAAACGTCCTCCATATCTTTCTTGCAGTGCTTCAATGTCTTGATTCAGTATGTTTTCCAATGTTCTCCAAAAAGCCTCTGAGGTCTTCACAAAAAAACAAAAAAAAATATTTATACACACACTCCTGATAATGTGACTTTTGAAGGCAGCTGGCTGCTCAGGATATAAAAGGTTGAAAGGTTGTTTTTAATTTCAACTTGGTGACTGTCTGATTGTTAATGTTGGTTCATCACATACAATTCCAATAAAATACAGAAAATGTTTCCAAGTGAAAAGAAATGAAAATATGCATGAATAGTTTTTCAAAGTGACTTATGTAAACCATGACAGTATCTGTATTCCTTTCCCAGGTTTCCCTAAAGGAAGCATATCTGCCTCTGTGAAAGGAACCCCTCAAAAAGCACTAAAAGCAACCTTTTGAAGGAGTGTGCCCACTGCAAAGTTTCATTTTATCTTACTTAATTCCCACCTCATCTGCTTCCCACCAATCAGTACATAGCTGCCACTTTACCAATTTTATGAATCAATTAACCAACCTGTAATTATCATAAATTTGCAAAACACAGTAAGCATTTTGGAGCATCCATGCTCTCACTCTTTACTGAGAAGCTACTTTGGAGCCTCTTCAGCATGATAAGACCAGCACTAAATGTGTGGTGCCATATTGCTTTTGGCATGCATACTTTTAGACAGATGCTATTAACCACAAATACCCTTCATTGAACACTCATCAAGCATAGCGGCCAAAACATTCCACCTTATTCAGAGTGATCTGTTTAAAGTAAATATTCAAGGGAAAATCAATACGCTAGTACTATGTGATTACATGCTAAGTTGAGCATTAGCTGCACCTGTTTTGAGAAATGGACTTCATCTTGGTGAGAGACAATATTTGTTTAATTGTATGAATGAAGATATTAAGGCTTTACTAGTATAAGTACATATGTTTATTGAGTTGAAGAAAAATCTAAGTGTAAAAGCCTCTATCCCTTCCATGGGATTATTTATTCAGTCGTACTTTCAGGGCTGCATTGATGTTAATGCATATCTCTGGAGATCATTGACAAAGAGGCCACCAGTCCATCACAGACCAACTCAAAGTCACACAAAAATGCAGACACTACACATTTATGAGGGATTTAGAGGAATCAGATGACCTAGCATGTATATTTCTGGACTGCAGAATGAAGCTCAAGTGCCCGAGCTGTACACAAGCGTGCACTGGAAGAACATGCAATCTCCATGTGGAAAGACCACAGGCTGGGTTTAAAACCAGGGATCCTTGATGCAGGGCAAAAGTGCTAAACAAACAGGCTTGGCAAAAGCCAAAGGCAGCTAAAGACAAAGATGTCTTATTGTCATTCATCTTTCACTGGTGGTGATAAAATTATAAATAATGTCTGGAGGTTTTCTACATTCCATCACTGATTTTGTGTAAAATATACTGTATGGATCAAAGAAGAGATTCCAGAGAAAAGGTCAATTAGTTTCGTCCTATAGTTATGCTGCTATGGGCTTAGACTGCTGGAGGACATAGGCACCCATTTTCCTCATTCTGCTTTAAAATATTTCTATTCTCCCACTCTGCAGAATTTGTTAGTTCAATCTCTAACTTTATCCTCTCTGCTTTTTCTAATCATAGTAGCATAATCTGCTCTCTTCCTGTTTCAACACCTTTGTTTATAGATGTTGAAGCTTGGCATGTTTTTCAGTGTAGTCCTGTTTCTCTTACTGTGACTAACTGGATATGCTCTTTTTCATCCTCTCACATTGGAGCTGGCTGGGAGCTCATCTGCCTGGCCGTGTGTTTCCTGGACGGGGCCACTTGTGGAGTTGATTGACAGTTGCCTGTTGTATCTATGCTTTTTTCTCTGTCTGCTTCTGTCTCCTTGAACCCAAGTCAGCCTCGGCAGATGGCCGCTCACACTGAGCCTGGTTCTGCTAGAGGTTTCTTCCTGTTAAAAGGGAGTTTTCCTTTTCACTGTCGCTACAAGCCTGCTTGGTGTGACGGACTGCTGAAGAGTCAATGAGTCGATGCAATTAGCTGGTTTTCCTTAGAAAGCTTTGAATCTGTTTCGCTGTATGATCTGGCCTAATTGTCTCTGTAAAGTACCTTGAGATAAAATGTGTTGTGAATGGGAGCTATATAAATAAACTGAATTGAATTGAATGTTTTCTGGATGGTTAGAGGTTTCCTAGATAAATACAACAGAGATGAGAACATACGCAGGCTAAAAGCTCTCCTGAGAAAACATGTCTTTAATCTGTCAGCAGAAACAGGTTTAAATCTCTCAAAATAGAAAATGATACTTAAGTGAGGGATGTAGGGGTTTCCTCTGAAGCACTTGTCAATACGACACATCTTTACATCAGAGTCCGACAGTGAATCGATGCGATAACAGAGGCATTTTTTTTGGTTTATTGTACCTTATGTTTCTAATAAAAGTGATTTATTACATTGTGAGTAATGGTTTCTTTCTAAATAAATCTAGACAACAGTTTCAGGAATGCTACAACAGCCAACTCTGAAGTTAGCTGTCAGACAGCAAACCTGTTACTGACCAACATTAATCATATCACTCAAGCACTTTCAATATGTCCAGGATCTTTTATTGATCACCAGCTGACTGCTGCTCCTACAAATTCCCTCAGAAATACTTTTCGGCAGACTTTTACATCCTACTTGTCAATTTCTCAAGAATATGGCTGACAACATCCAGGCTTTATTCCAAAGCAGGAGGTGTGAAATATAAATCTATAAATCTGTCCAAGAAATAACACCAGTAGCTATTTTGTGACTTGTTATCTCAGGAGCCTTCAGAAGTTATTGTTTTGTTTCGCCATTTTATTCATATAAATTTAGAGGCTTAATAAAAGAACAAAGCAAAGTACCCTAGTTATAAATGATAATAATCCCTGGATAATATTTATGAAGAGCTGAAAATATCATCAACACTATAATAGTACAGGATACAATAGAAAAAACCTTTATTGTCACCAAGTGGGGAAATTCAGATTATCCAGCAACAGAGCATGGAGACACACACAGGGGGATGGATGGATGGATGGATGGATGGATGGATGGATGGATGGATGGATGGATGGATGGATGGATG